ATGGCATGCCTTCATAATATATCTATACATGTAGACACACAGGGATTGACATTTTGGAAAGAAAACACAATTACATGTATACAAGGTTTCTCATAATCAAAAGCATGCTTTTATAAGTGAACTAAATGTACATGTACATGTATATCCACTCCTTACCTCTAATATAAGTCCATTCCCTCCTTCCCTCAACACTCTTGCTCCTGGTAATGCATTAGGTTGTGTATAAACCTTTCCACTGAAGAATTTAATATTATCACCCTAAAATAAATAAATATGATATACACATCCAATTACAGTATCTCCTTACATAAAAGCATTGACCAGCAGTATCAAAAGCCTCTAAAGCCTGTCTCTTAATCTGTTGCTCGTTGGCGGTAGTCACACCTAGTGGACGGATACCACCAGCTGTACTCTTAGTCGTATCATAAACTGAACTGGTTGGTCTATGATTATCATTATTATATTTATTATTACTATTATTATTTTATACCGAGTAGATGGTTTAAACCTGTCAGGATCCTCATCCAAAGCTTTAGATGCAGTGGTTGCTGTCATGTCCCCAGACTCAGTCCCTCTCTTTGAGGGAAGTGGTAACTCTCTTCCGACTCTCTCATCTTTCACAATATCAAACGGTTTGAGTTCCTTCCAGAGAACCTTCCCTTTTAACTCATGACTAGGCGCTAGATAATCGCAGCCGATAAAACCAGGGGGTTCAGCCTCCTCTGAATTATTATATAAAGAAATTACTGATTGTTCACCCGTTAAAGTGGTGATTGCTATTTGAGTGTAGCGATGAGAATTAAGAAGAACTATTTCTGAAGTCTCAGGCGAGACTGTAGGTAATGACATCTCATCATTTGCTCTTCTTTCATATTTTGCTTCCAGCTCAGGATTCCCATCAGGTTGCTTGACCTATACATGTTATTATAGAGATGAGAGAGAAAAGGGGAGGAAACTCTATCATCAGGAAACCAAATACTAGATAAATGTACTATAAATAAGCCACAGCTTTGACAGGTGATGTTTCATAGTATGTTTAGTTACACCACATTCCCAAGGAGACTACAAATAGAATTATAAGTACATTCATTAAACTGATGCTCACTGGCCCACCCACAGATCAAAGACACATGCTTATTCTATGAATTAATTAATAGAGTGACCCTCTCATCACAACAAGTATTAGGTGCATTGTACAGACTACAGAGTGTATGAGATAAGTGCATTTCATTCATACCTTAACCCAGTGCATGGGGACATAAGGTGCAATGAGAACACTTTTATAAAAGTGATGTCTCAAGGACTGACTACCAGTGATCCAAATATGGTCAGCTTTACGATACTGGCACTCTAACGGTTGCTTTGAATAAGGCTGGAGCGAAGTAGCCATGACGTCTTTGACCATGTTAAAATACATGACGTTTTCTGCGGTTTGCATTGCTTCATACTTCTCTTTTGAAATATAACCAAACTTATACGGTAAAGGAGAAGCTAAGGACGACAGAGTACTAGAAGGATCAGCAGAAGGTAAATGAGGAGTTGGTGACATTCCTTCTTGCATAGCCTCCATTCCCAGTACCATTGACATATCAGAATGGACAGAAGCTACTGATGAAAGTAAAACACTCTTCAAGTGATCGAGATTTCTATTGCTAATGACAATTCTTCCTTGTTCTTTCATTGTGATGTCAGGCTGCAATTTAGAATGCACAGTTATCTTGTATTGCTGGTAGATACTACCAAGAAATGAGGAAATGGAATTTCCAGTAACTTTGTCACTATAATATATAGTCCACGACTGCTGCTCTGAGCTTGTACAGGACAAGTAATAGGCTAAATCCGTCAAATCTAAAAAACTAAATTTGTATGAGAAGATTTGCCGCTTAAAATGTTCATGGTGAACCTTTCTGCACAGTGTAAAATCTTGTGCTTGCCGAAGACATGCTAAAATAACAAGTGCTATTCTGTCATCAATAATAGGCTCAGTAGTGACAATAGTCTGACACATAAACTGGATGATTGAAGGCAAAGCGTCAGATAAACTATCGTTTAGGCCACATTTTGCTAGTCCAAATACGTACGTAAGGACTTCACTGCAATCTCTTCCAATCTCGCCTCCATCTTCTGTTAGTTTGTTGGTCTGACTTATGACGTGTTGTTTTATAAAATCCAAGAGCACCATGAGGGGCTCCCAGATTAGAAAAACAGCCGCAAGAAATTTTTGAATTAGTACGTCTATGAAGCAATATCCATTGCCAGCCGAGTAAGGCTCATCGTGATGGGTTCTGACATCAATGAGACCCAGAGCGTCTGCCGAAGTGAAAGACTCCAGTCCTTGTTGAAGTAGAGCATTTGAGAGTTCTACGCTATCTGGATTAAGTCCCTGTACTTTCAGAAACGCCAATCGGCAAACGAGGATTTTAAAATTAAAACGCTCGTTTTCTTTTATTTTGTTGAGAATCTCCCCCAGTTTTGTATACTTACCTTCTTTTTTAAACGTGTTGGAAATAAACAAAACAAAGAGAGACTCTACGTAACGGGTTTCCGTCGGCGGCGGATCTTCAAGGACTTTTTGCTGGAATAGCTCAAACTCTTGCTGGTTCAATTTTTTGATTAGAACCGTTTCAAGTTGTATAATGCTACCTGGTCTACCATACTTGGAATACAGCTTCTTGTGAATCTTTTTGTGGTGGCCTGATGCCATTGCTGTTGTGTACAGCCTACATGATGATGACACAAGAATGAATAATAATATGGTTTCAGCAGAACTAGCTTTATCAATTGTAATAAACAATATTCATGTTAAAAAAGTATGACAAATTATATTCATGTACATGCACAAGACAGCAACATCTACTGAAAAACATGGCTGCTCAGCAATAACTTAACATAATAGCACAGTTGCTACAGTTAGTCATAACATTAGTTTATGGTTTTAACACATAATTTAGCAAATGCATATCTAAGGCAATGCAGGTGAACTTTAATACCATCATACACAACATACAGGAAGTGTAGACTAGTATATGAATTGTGGCTAGGGCTTCACACAAGAGTTGGCAACGTGTGTTAGATTTTCACAGTTGTAGCGTAATATTTGCTTTGTGTGTAAACATAATAATACTAAAAACATTCAAAAAATGTGTATACATAACTGTTGATCACACAAACAGTCAGCACGACGGACCACGGACGGTACAACAGTAGTTGAGTATACGTAGTGCAGCACCATTACTATCAAGTCTTGTGTGACACTGCTTACTTCTAATTAATCCAAAACCTAAACATCACGTGACTATAATGACCCCATTGCCTATTATGTGCCAATTATGGCAGTTTTTAAATAAAAAGGCCCCGCCCATCAGCTTGCACGGAAACTCGGCCGATTGGCCGAAACAGCACGCTTTTCTA